GTAGATTCATGATTAACTGGTTGACCGTGTAGTGTTAATTTTGTGCCATAAACTAATTCAGCGGGTGTATATCCTCTGTCTTCCATCACAGTGGCACGAATCCCGAGGAGAACGAGCGGTAAGGTATAGCACCATTTTGGTGAATCAGTTTGAGCCATGAGTGAGCTATTTAATTGACGATGAAATCTTCCGACCATACCGTTCGCTGCTAGGTGGTAAGCTGTAGTTCTGATGTGGTTTACGCCCAGAAGTCTTGTGAATTCTTGAAATAATATAGACTGGAACTGTGGACCACGATCTGTTGTGATGGTTGTAGGTACACCGTAGTTCGATATCCATCGGTCGGGAAAGACGGATGCTACAGTCTCAGCCGAGGTATATTTAATAGGGCATGCAATGGCCCATCGAGTGAATCTACCCACCGCCGTGTGAATGTGAGTAAAGAAGCTTGACGGTGGTAGGGGTCCTACTAATTCCAAATGGATATGCTGAAAACGTTTATCAGGAGTAAGAAATTCTCCGATTGGACTGATAGTATGCTTCTGAATCTTGCTACGCTGACATTGTATACGGTCTTGTGCCCAGCGTTTAATATCTGAGTTGATTTTTGGCCAAACAAAGCGTTCAGTAATAAGTTTAGTGGTGGTCCTAATGCCTGGATGTGACAGGCCGTGGAGGCGACATGCGAGTGGAACAAAGGGGCGATTGTTACCTGTTGATGTGTCACAGATGATGGATGCGTCGGAGAATGGGATGGGTACAGGTTGGAGATTTGGGCGAGACTTCTCTTTGCAGGTTTTTAGCTCTGCATCGTCTGCTTGAAGTTTTGCAATTGTTTCGAGGTTAACGTCATGGTTGAATGCGACTACATTGATGTCTTTTCTCGACAACGCATTTGCTACAATGTTAGAGTGTCCTTTGATAAACTGAGTGTCCGTGGTGAATTGTGAGATGTAATCAAGCTCTCTCGCTTCGCGTGGCGAATGTCTGTCATATGACATACCAAATGAGTAGCACAGGGGTTTGTGATCCGTCATGATGGTAAAGTCACGACCCTGTAGTAAAAGATTGAAGTGTTTAACAGCTAAGTACATGGCTAAAAGTTCGCGTCCAAATGTACTGTAACGCTCTTGAGCAGGTGATAACCGTTTATAGAAGAATGCTATCGGTCTAATCATGTTATTAACTCGTTGTTGTAGTACTGCCCTTACAGCTTTTTGCGGTGCATCCGTACACAAGATCAAATGAGTTTTGGGGTCAGTGTTTAGATGTTGTAGCATAGTAGCGTCGGCGATCAAGGATCTAGCTTTTTCGAATGCCGTTTTAACGTCAGAAGGCAGCTGGAATAGTTGGTTCTTCTCCTCTTTGCTACTCGATTTATCATTTATAAGTAGGTCTGTTAGGGGCTGTAGAACATCGGCACAATTGGGTGAAAATAGTCGGTAAAAATCGAATGCCCCCAGGAAACGACGTGGTGACTTAACTGAAGGAGGTTCAGGATAGTTGATTATGGCTTCGACTTTCTTTGGAAGGGGTTTAATACCTTGTGCATCAATATAGTGTCCTAAGAATTCAAAGGCAGACGTATCGAATATGAATTTAGTAGGGTTGATAACTACACCTATTTCTTGAATCGTTCAAAGAGAATCTGCAGATGTTGGACATGCTCTTCAAGTGAGGAGCTGGCGATTAGGACGTCATCGATGTAAACTAACACGAAATCTAAACCCCACGTGACTTCGTCCATAAATCTTTGGAATGTTTGCGCAGCATTCTTAAGCCCAAATGGCATCCTCAAGAATTCAAACAACCCAAAAGGTGTGATTACGGCTGTTTTTTTCAATATCCTCAGATGCCACTGGGATCTGGCGATAAGCTCTTACTAAGTCTAGTTTTGAAAAGATCAGTTTACCGTGCAGGTTTAATGAAAAATCATGCAGATGAGGAATAGGGCATCTGTCTCGAACTGTCTGATTATTCAAACGTCTATAATCTCCACAAGGGCGCCAATCTTGATCTTTTTTGGGGACCATGTGCAGTGGAGAGGTCCAAGGGCTATTAGATTGTCGGATTATCCCTAGTCGCATCATATGTTCAAATTCTCCTTTGGCGGACTGCAACTTATTGGGTGGTAGTCTCCTCGCCTTGGCGCAGAAAGGTGGACCAGTGTTGGTGATACTATGTTGAACATGGTGTGTGGAGTTTTCAGTTTGATAATCGGCTTTTGTTATACATTCATACTCCGATAGAAGATCGGTAAAAGTTTTACTATCAGGTCTAAGCAATCGGACATCATAAGTTTCATAATTGCGGGTGATTGTTCCGTTGACCTGTGGACTTGTATTCACGTCAATAAGTTTCTTTTTTCTCATGTCGACAAGGAGATTGTAATTACTAGGAAAATCGGCTCCAAGGATGGGTTGTTTAACTTTTTAACGATGAAAACCCATGTAAAGCGTCTACGGAGACCGACGTCTAAAATGAGTGGTTGCTCACCATACGTTTTAATAATAGAATTGTTTGCTGCCACTAACGATAATTTAGCGTGTTAGGAGTGCCGTCGTCGGGAAAAATGAAGTGGGAGTATGCTTATTTCGGCTCCAGTATCGATCGAAAAATCTGAGCCCGAAATACGATCCCTAACATGAAATAGACGGCTTGAGTTGTGGCCAGAGTCAGGCGCCGCCATTACTGCCTGGCCGGGCCGTTTCCCTGATTCGTCGTGTCAGTTGAAGAAAATGCGCACGGCCGAGTACAGTGACGTGCTTTAGCTCCATAGTTGTTATGATACCAACATACTTCAGAGCTTTCCTTAGGTGAGCGTGAACTTCGTCTAGATAAGGATCTTCGTCTAAAAGAAGGTCCAAGCTGTCTAGCTTGAACTGTTGCAACTGTGGTCTGAAGTGACTTGAGTTGATTCGTTAGTTGAGACAATTGTCTTTGGATAGAATTTTAATAGCCGACGTCCGTTGCTCCGTACGACTGCATCGTGTTTATGTAGTGGTTATCATTGCAAACTTCCATTACCTTATCTGCCATATCAGCTAAATCATCAAGGGAGGAAGACTTCCCCAAGGCACTTAGAATTTGTCTGACGCTGCGTAGTAATCGGTTGAACCGCATTTGTTTGAGGAGGGCTTCGTCTAGTTTATATGGGCCCACAAGTTGTTTCATATGTCGAAGTAGCTGGGAAGGTCTTTTGTCTCCCAGGTCACATGCGTTCAAAAGTTGTTGCAATCTTGTTTCATCTGAAACCGTTGTTCGCTGAATTAAAGCTGCTTTTCATTTATCATATCGCTCAGTTTCCGGGACCTGGTCAATAAGGTCTCCAACTTCGGCGGCAATTTCGACAGGGAGTGAGCCCACAACATAAGCATATTTGGATGCTTGGGAACGTGTGCCTCTGGACTGGAATAAGGCTTCTATTTGAGCATACCAGACTCTAGGATTATTTGCTCCATATGATGGAAATCTAAATTCAGAAATGGCATTGACTGGGCTAAAATATTGTCATTAAGGTTTGATGATGAACTAAGAGTTGTTACTGGAACAGGGTCAATATCGATAAGCTTAGGTGGAGAGTAAATAAAGTTAAAAAATGAGCTAGTTGGTCGTACAGTGAGCGAATAAACAATATAACAATGAGATAAATACGAGATAATCAAATCACATCGGGCTCACCAAATAATTGTGGTGGACCAAAACGTATGATAATCAATTGAGGCTTCATCTGTTAAGACATTCCAAAACGTTTGGCCGGTTGAGAAGCCGCAATTGCCAGCACTAATAGAGGTTACCCAGGTTTCTGTTCTTCATAAACTGTAACAATTAGTTTAATATTCAGATGTTCATGGTTTTCAACACAATACTATCCTCGAGCGATCCTGGAAATTTCCCGCTGTCGGATTTAGATATATTACAGGGGATCAGTTATGTGGTGGACCAAAACGTATGATAATAAAAAATTTGCAACAAAATATTACGTCTAAAGTTTGTGTAACAGTTAACAGTTAATAAGTTAATTACACACAGATAAAAATAAGGGATGTTACTTAATTCTTCAGGCTATTGCGCGTTCAGTTGAGTTTGGTCTCGATAATCCACAGTTATAGAAGATTAGTAATCCCAATATGGACGATATGAGTACAGTAGATTTACGAAGCGTATAATTCAATAAGAATGTCACAATTGTCTATAAACGGAGATTGTATGCAATTAATATTTCATTTAATATATTAGCAGACACGGCAGAACGATGTAGATGTGAATTAGAGTGTATTTATTGGGTAGCAGTAACAATGTTGTGATATGTTGTACTCAAAACGGAAGGAAGTCAAATTGCAAGTGTTCAAAGTAATACACTTAAACAACAAGTACAATTGTTTAGTGCTAAATGTATAGAATATGAAAATACACAAAATACATGCAAAAACTATGAAAGATTGTTTACAATATGTTTTGTATTCCTGTCTCCACAGTTCTGTTGTTAAGAAGTGATGCATAATTCCCCGTTTACTGAATTTTGGTCACGAGAAAGTCCCCGCTATTTTGTATGCTACTGGGAAAACTGATTGAGTCCTTCAGATAAAAAGAGAATGAGAATCCACATTATAATTTACTAAGTATTTATTCTGCCACAAAAGTTTTTACTAAATCTTAATACCAGGCCTACCAGTTTTGAAATTCGATGGTTTTATAATTCTATATGGTTAAAGTTATCACGATTACTGCGAGAAGAATTCATATTTACCCATTTATGACATCTCATTCGAAACTTCATTTTAGGTCAGTTCGATAACATCTCGCGTGACGGAAGGACCTGGGTTCGAATCCTAAGTATGGAATTGTGGGTGCACATCGATGAGGAGTCCCATATTAGGACGGAGCGGCCACCCAGTGATTCAAGATTTTCAGTTGGTGTCTAACAACGTTCAATTCATTATTTCAATCAAAATCTATAGTGTTTTAACATACCCAGTTATCTAATAAGAGGATTATAAGATTCATTCAAATTGAGAACTAACTCAGTGAAACTTGACTTCGATAACCTGAAAGAGTCTGCTCATAATTTTCAATCATTGAAGTGTGAAATTTTTGCATGTGGTATCAACTTTCAAAAAATCAAGGTCAGACTGTCCTGGTACCGAAGTAGAGTAATTGTTTCCGTTGTTTTAGAACTTCTTGAGCCAATTTATTACAAAAAAAACTTCCTGTGACTCACAATAATATTATAAGTATTACGAGCAAACATCATGCAACGTCTAATGCCTGAATTCAGAAGGGGATATGGACCTTGAGAAGATGATATATAGTAGACATTAACATCTGCTTCAGTTGGTAGCCATTTGTACAGAGCTACACCTGAGAACTAGAAGATTTTAGAGCATTTATTTGTTGCTTTACAACGTCGCATTTCACTATGTGATAGCTAGGTAACTTTTCAACAGACACTATATTAATGCTGCATTGATTAGCTTCACTGAATACTACTTTATTGCTAGATCCATTTATTTATACTAAAATGTAGGTACAAAGATATCGAGTTCACACAAAGATATCAAACGTTATCACTACCCAATCAACGAATAAAAAGGAAATAATGGCTGATAGGGGTGGGGGTATAAAGGGGACATTCCGTTAGAAAATAAGGTGATCCTTATAAGGATCAATTATATGCAGTATATTGTGTACCTAAGCTATTTCATAGAGCTGCCTTGTTTGCTTCAGTAGAAATGAGTTAAATATTGAAACCTTGTTTCTATTTAGATCTTAGAATTGATTCTGTGGCGATAGGAGTTAATTTCACATTTTCATACTCTGATTTTCTCGCTTTCACAGTTCAGTGCTACCAGTCTTCTCAGTAACGCCATGAAAGTGGTGGACCTCATTTTAATGTTATTAAAGATGAGCGAAGTTTCCAGTCGCAGATTTTGTAGTAGTTTCAGCAGTCCTGTGACATTATTATTACAGACTGTATCCCAAACTTCTGTGATGTTTGAGTATTTCGCTGCAGTTACTGTGTGTCAGTAGTTGCTTGTGAAAGTTTTATGGTTGAATAGTGTCTAAAATTTCTCTACTATTATATTTGGGATATTTAGTTTCCTATATATTAGGAGTGTCATCAACATTGGAGTCATCAAGCATTAAATTTAGTCCAGATAAGCTACGATCAGTAGTGGTATGACCACTCAACTACAGTAATTCTCATCCAGCGTTTTAGGTTGATTATTAGTAGTCCACGATGTCTCGAAGCCAGAAAGTGACTAGCTAAATAACTAGACTACGACAAAGTTCAATGATGGTGTGTGAAAGATTCATACCAACAGGGATGTCATATATTTGTAGACTTTGTGGACCACGTCATCTTACGTTATTCTTTCAACTGAAGTTTATTCAAGTCATAATAGATAACCCCAAACTATCTAGCCGTGAAATTAAAATCTTGATGCAGAAATTCGGAATTCACTAGAAAGTGATCAGGATTAGTAAAAGTAGGCCGAATGTACTGGAGAGACAAAAGGAACATAAGTTGGGTACCCTCAGCAGACTTGCAGTTTATTGTTAATCAATTTATGTAGTTGTCATCTGGAAATAATGAAAAAGAATCCCATTTGTGCCAGTAACTAGACAGGATAACAGGATATAGACGTCTAAATTCGCACTGAGATTCTACAGGCTTGCATTATCGCTTTATTTATCATTTATCTGATTTGTAACTTTCTATCAACTTTATTTCAACATCTGTCAAGTAAAGATAGTTTAAAGAATTGAATGGAGACAGAGACTCTTTTATATCACTATTCTTGCAAATAAAATTGATCAGTCTAATATCTAATACAATTCAATGTCACCCTACTATTTTGATTTCTAGATTTATAAACACGTATTACTTATATATGTGATTTTTAACCTATTCACTTTCCTTGACATTTTAGAATCTGTTTAAATCATCAAGTTGTCATTCCAAACGTTTGTCATCTTTGAATAATGGCCACCGTGTCTAAACACAAGAAAGTGAGAATCAAACCCACCTAAGTCTTATGAGACGTCTTTTGACGGCCTCGCGAGACCGTCCCGGAAAAGCTGTACTCACCGAATCATATAATCGGCTCTTGTTTAGGGCGAGATTGTTCGTTGCAATCTCGTTTGCCTTTCGAATCAGCATATCCTCCTCCTCTTTGCACCAGGGGCTCTTTGTTTTGCCGGCGATTTTTGATCGCTTAATATCGTTGTATGCAGTCACATGCTTCTGCCGCACATGTTGACCAAGGCCGATACTTGATCGCGCCCGATACCGGCACCATCGGCATTCGAAGGACGTAACAAAATGTGTGTATATGGGCGAATGAGCAGCACTTGGATAACCGCGACTGGGCGAGGCGCCGACGGTCTCCGTACTGATTGTGCTGAAGTAACTAACGTTAGCACCGCAACATCCATTACTTCGGGAGATGTGCGATAAGCTGGAGCAACTAGCTTTATTAATACCACGTCGTCCATTGCCCCTGGAGACGAGTGATATGGGCAGGTTAACTGGAATACCTGGCCGACCACCTTTTCCTGAGTCGGCGGGTATGTAGCAAATTTTTTGTATAATTGTACTTGTCATGAGGGTTTTGTGGGGGT